CTATATAAAATTGAATTACAGCATATTTTCCGGAATACATCCAATCCTTTTCATTAACAGTCAATCTTTCCTCGATTCCTTCTTCAAGTCCAACTATAACATCTGCCTTATTTGTTCGTAAGGCAAGTATGGGTGGTGAACCTTTCATGCTTGCTAATGGTCCAATAGCCTCATTAAATGGTATAGTAGTTTTCCATTTACAATCGTATACCAATTTCCTATAATTAAGGTCTCCCTTAAATATTACAAGATTAGATGTACACAAATCTGCATACAAATCCGGTGCTTGTTCTGCCAAGTGCCAATAAGCGTATGGTGATGTCCAAAAATAATCAGAAGTAAGAATTAATCGCGAATCAGCAACGTGAGATTGCAAACGATTTGAAAATTTTTTGAGAAATGATCTTTCTATTTCAGTGGCTGATGAAAAGAAATCTTCACTCTGAAGAGTTTGGAGGAGCCAATTGAAATCATTCTGCGTCGTATCTGAAACAAACCATGGAATTTTTTTAGCGTGTAAATGAACCTCTCTTGCGTATCCAGATTGGATTAGCCAGTCTGACAAAACTAAATCCGCGTATAATTCGAATCCTAAATTATCAAATTCATAAATAAATTACAAATTCATAATTAATATATTGAAGGGTTAAAATGTAAAAATTTAGAAATTATACCTGCATTATCCAAAATAATATCAATTCTAACATTACTATTTTCTGATAAATAATTCCATGCTTTTTCTAAATCATTCGCTAAAATATTTTTCTCTAATTCTTCTAACTTCTTTGTTCCGAGATCTTGCAATTTTTTAATATCATCATTACTAAGATTAGTAAGTAAAGATAGATCCGTGGAATTTCCCCAAAGTGATATTTGGACGAGTTCATGGAAAATAATTCTTCTAGTGTCTGTTTTCTCATTATCTGCGTGTAATTTTGGAATATAGACTAACTCGTCAATACGTTTCGCGATTTCGATAATTGCATTAAACGATGATTTAAAGGTATCTTCTTTTTGACGAAAAAAAGGATCGTAATCTTTCCAATGTTTAGTTCTTGCAAATATAGAACGAATTCGACGATACAAGTAACATTCTGTGAACAGCCAAGTTGCAGAATACCAGTTTTCATCTTT